TATATAAACAGAGCAATGGAATCTCTCCTCTTTCCTAGGCCCTGCATACAGCTATATGGTGTATGCGATGGAGAGGAGTGGGGTGAGGTACTAAGCAATGGCACAAGCAAACCTCTACCTCATGCACGTAGCTGTTGGTAGATGACTAAGGCTATATTGTAGTAGAATACAACTACTGCTCCACCTTTGCCATTTACAAACCAAAGTCTGAAAGTTTGTGATAGAAATAGTATTGCTTGATGACTGCTCTCTGTGCACACACAGAGTAACCTCATCATCAAGAGTTTCTCTTCTGCAGTGCAGCCCTTTTGTCTTAATGGGAGCCTGAAAAAGACAGTAGGAATGTGCCTACAAACCCCAACCTAATCGTGTACTCCACTCAAGTTTTAACCTGGTGATATTGCTGCTGTTTGGTCTTCTGTCTGGATTCATTAGTATAACAAAGCTGTGAAACATGTTCTTAACTTTGCAAGTTGTGTGCATTTAATTAGGAATATGTATGCACTCCCCTAGCAACTAAATTAGTTGGATTGGAATCTGGTCAAAATGGAGTTTCTTGAGCAACTCTAAATTATTGGAATTGAAGTTATAATACTGAAATTGAAGGTAGGCCGTGGAATGCGTTATCTTCCAGAAATAATACATTGTAAGCTTCTTGAAGAGTGATTTTGCCACATTGAATACATTATTGGCATTAAAAAATAGCAAGAGCTAACAGGAAGGCTTAGGGTAAGCATAGCCTTTTAGCTATCCTTTCAGCTAACTTCATTTTGTTTTCTATGGGCTGTGAATCAGTGTGTTTAAATCAGGCCCCTCTAACTTCGTACAGTTACTTTGTGTAATAAGAAAGCAGAGACTTCCACAGGGTGAGAATATTACCCCATAGTTATTATATGTACCTCCTGATGTTGTAAACTGTAGTATTTTAGATAAGTGAACCCAGAAAGAAAGGATGAGAACAGAGCTGCAGTTGGAAGACAGACATTACATAGTCAAGAAAACCAGAGATTTAAAACTGCTAAATTAATTTAAAGGAGGATTATGTTGCCTTTTTCAAGATACAACCTAAATCTTTATATTTCTGTTTCCCTTGACTAATGCTACTTGACATTAATGCAGCCTTTCAGCAGCTTATGTTCTGAAAGAGAACAAGAGAAAACTCTTAGTCTGTCATTATAAATATCAGTATTGAAATTCATTGGTCACTGAAGAAGAATTCAGTGATAAGTATGGTAAAATTTGGTGAATATTTAGATTAGGTTGCAAAACAACAAATGAACTTGAATTTTATTTGTTATAACTAAGAAGAACCTAGACAGCCCCAAAAGTTGTGTTTGATTCAGATACTACTTTTTAACCGGAAACAATCAGATAGCACAAATGAGAAATACTTTTTCATATCTTTGAAACTTGCTCTTCTCTAAAGCCCAGTTGGAACTGTTAAATATAATTTGTTTCTAAGCCAGTTCCAAAGATATCTGTTTACTGTACTAACCGGATTTTTGTTAGAAAAACATAGTTTCCAAACCTCTTTGCAAAAAGAGCTGTTAGGCTGGACTTTTCTTTGTTTTAAAAACCTCAAAAGTGATCTGTACATTCTGCCTCTGTTAGAAGGAGCTAAATGAATTTTAAATTGAAGCAAATCCTTCCCTCCTTCTAGCAGTGTTTAAGATTTTTCCAACCATGAGCAGAGTGAGTTTTGGCTTGTGCATCAATATTGAGGTCATTCGTGCTAGTTTGGATATGTGCCACTGTGGCATGCAGTTTATTTACTCACTAACACAGTGATTGTCTCATTGTCTCCTGGAGCAGACCTCCACCTCTCTGCCATGCAGCAGTTCCCAGTCCCAAAACAGGCCCCGGTCTCCCCGCCATGTGGCATCCCAGGCCACCAGAGTAGGCCTCCCCCCTCCACACAGCCATGGCAGGCCCTGGCCTCCCACCCTAGTGGCTCCCTCACCACACCATCTCAGTCAGCCCCGCCTGCCAGAGCAGCTGCCTGCCACAAGTGCTGCTGCGTGGCTCTCCAGGAGGTTGGTGGAGGAAGAATTCTTTGTGTGAGGCTGCACAGGTGCACACCTTAGCATGAACTATGCTATCTGGCTATATAAGGAATAATTTAATTCAGCTTTTGCTCATTTGATTACAAAAGTGAGGCTTTCTGTAGCTTCCCCCTAACAACACTCTGTAACTGTAAGTAACTCAAGGAAACTCTGACAAGAACTCTTCTGAAACATGATATTAGGAAGAGAATTGGAACAAATGGAATAAAATGTACAGGGAATGAACTTTCTGATGCAAAGATTAAAAATGCAACTGGATGATTATTTGCCTATGAATTGTGTGTTCAAGTGAGGCTTTCTGTAGCTTCCCCCTAACAACACTCTGTAACTGTAAGTAACTCAAGGAAACTCTGACAAGAACTCTTCTGAAACATGATATTAGGAAGAGAATTGGAACAAATGGAATAAAATGTACAGGGAATGAACTTTCTGATGCAAAGATTAAAAATGCAACTGGATGATTATTTGCCTATGAATTGTGTGTTCTACTTTCTTTGATTGAGGCTAAGAAGAATTTAACAACAAATATCAAAATGGCTGTGGTAATGGTCAGTGCTAAATATTAGTGTAGTCACCTTATTAAAGGTGCCTCTGCTTATTCTCTGGGAATATCCTGTGTGCGGCAATCTAGCCCCAGAGACAACAATTCCCATGAGCCCTTGAAGAAACCAGGAAGGAAGTGACTTGTTTTTTTGTGGGTGGCTGGGGGTCTCCATGTGTGTGGAGAGAGACTCTTAGCAGTCTGTGGACTCTTCCCATTTTTTTTGGAAAAAAGGATTTAGACTGCTGTGGAGGAGTTTTATCCAGTCCAGGAGCTGTTAGGTTGCAGCTACAGACTTGGATTCAGAGCCTTTGGGACTGGAATCTAGCAGGCTGCTTCTGATTGCTCTTTGGCTATACCTGTGGCTAGAATTACTACTCTGCACACAGAAGGAGACTAGAATCATCCACTCCAGCTGCAAAATCTTCAAGTGTGCCCATGCAAGCAAGTGTATGGTACTGAGAGTCCTGAGGAGTGCATACTCTGAGGTCTGATAAACGGTGGCAGGGCAAATGCCAAATAGATACATTCCCGTTATTTTCTGTGTACTTTGTTAGGTTATTCACTGTTCATCTGTTAAACTCTGTTTCTTTAAATTGTTAAGTAAAGGTTGTTCTTTCTACTGTAATCTATCAGATATATACTATTTATGATTTGTAATTGCTGTTCTGGAGCTAGATGATCCAGATTATTGGAATAATTTTATTCCTGGAGGCTCCCAAGGCACACCATTATGTGTGTACAGGGCCAGCCAGGTGGAGGCACTGACATTATATGTTCTTTACGAGCAAGGGACAGCAGCAAGGGGATGGAAAGGGTTTCCCCAACTAAATAACATCACTACTGGGGTACTCAGGATTTCCTTTAATGTTAAAACCATCAGGCGCCCAGGCACACTTGTGATTTTGACCTGCTCCCGAGTAACCCGGGGAGGAAATATGGGGTTACATTAGACTGTATTATAACCAGGGCTTGACAAATCCCATGGCAAGTAGATTTCAGCCGGTCGCCCTGTTCGCTGGCGGTGAGCATGTATGCAGTGCGGGTCTGGCACATGCATGGTGCAGGGCTGGCAAGTGGATTTCACTGTGGTTTGTCGAGCCCTGATTATAATTTATTACATTGTTTTGCTAAATTACTGGAGTTTTGTGGGATTTCATTGCTACCTATAAAGCAATGTGTCTGTTTTGGGAGGACTTGTTAGGATAAATTTAGTTTATTTAAAAACAAACACAAGGTTTTGAATTCTTTAGGATTGGAGGCTCTCACTGTGCATACTGGTTTATGCCAGTTTCCTTACTGCACCTTTTGAGAGGAGGTATCTAACAATTCCCTTAATTTTGGCAGAAAGCCTTAGGTTAGATCTTAGAATTGGGTGTCGGAAGACTTTGATTCTGTCCTGGCTGGGCTGAGGATTTAGGTGACCTTGAGCAATCATTTCACTTGTTCGGTTTCTCCACTTCCTCATTTTGCTGACATTTTATAAAGCTCTTTGAGATTGAGGAACGACACAGTAAGTGTAAAGCAAGTTTGTTACTTTTGTCTTTCTTCTGCATCTCTTCAGGGGCAAGGCCAGGTTTCTTTTTGGAGTCATGCTTATCCCCCAACCAGCAGTCTATACTACCAATTCCCAAACCTTTCAAGTAATGAACACTTATGTGTTGAATGCAATTAAGAGTGAAATTTAGCTAGATTAATGTTGTGATTAGCAGAGCAAACTCACCCTTGATCTCACAGTAACAACTTTTCATTAAGCAAAATAAAACCTTATATTTTGGGACCATTTTCATGAGACTAATATGGAAGTCGAAGTGCCACTCAAGACTCTTGGGGGTGGAGGAAAGGGCTTTCTTGTGCTTTGTGCCTGGGAGTTAATGTTCATCGTGCTACTGATGATTTTTTTCTCATCTGTTAGGTTATATATCTAGATACAGGTATTCCCATAGTACAACATATGTAATCAAGTTCATTATCCTTTTCTTTTTTTTTATAGTGTTATTTTTTTTAATTTGCATGTGGCCCCCTTGTAAGAGGTGGCTGAGTTCACAAACAGAAATGAAGACTTCATGCTATTATACAGTTAATATCATGGTACCATACCTTTACAAGTATCCGCTGTTCCTTCAGCTAGCTGATAAAACATTATCTTTTATTCAATAATGGCTCTTCTGTTCCTAAGAGGTCTTGGTTTCCATTTGATAAATTGTTGGATAATTTGTATATAAACCTAATACTGGAGTCACCAATATATAACTAGCATATACAATTCTTATTGGAAAGATAAAGGACTGGCTGCCCTGCACTAAAGTGCATACTCCTAAATTGCGTTTACCTACAATGTGGTTTTAGTAAGTTGATGTGATTCCTTGTTTTGTTTTCATAGGCACTTAAAATAAGAGAGAGTTGCAATTGTCCCTCTCTCTCTGGACCAGACCCTCGCCTTATTTTTAAACTTAACATGCAGCATCTTCTGGAAGCATCTAAGGATAAAGAAGGCCATAACGCTACTCAACATGGTCTTGCAAAGCCAAAAGTGGACTTTCCTTCTGTTCAAAAGGGGGAAAAACTTCCAGTAACTCTTGCAGTTGAAAAAGAACCAGCAAACTGAAGGGAAAATATATTCACCAGAAAAACTTCACAAACTGTTGATTGAACAGATTTTTTTTCCTGAAGCACTTTTTTGATTCTTTTAAGATTATCAAATGGACAAATAATTGCAAATCATGTTTGTACTTCCCTGGTGCCAAAAATCTGTTGAAGGAAACTTGTCTCTCTGTAACACAAAGTAGATCAAGCCATCAGTATTCCGGGTTCCCAAACTTGTGGTGATCTCCTTCTCAGTGCAATGAGGAACTCTCCCCACATATAAAGAGTAGTGTGTTGGAGTTGAGAGACTTTTATTCAATAAGGGATACTAAACATAAATCACTGCAGGGGAGGGGTAATAATCTCTGTACAGTCCATTCACGCAAATGGCAGAGCAGCAATAAAATGGCCAGTGAGCTGTACATATATCCACCTAATTGGATGGCTTTCTGCTGGGCATTTTTGTATCATATATCTTTTAAAGGCACTTTAGAAATCAGGTTGATTCAGCATTTCACTTCAAAGTAATCTGAAAGGATTGTGCAGAATTGTATTTAAAAGTGAAGTCAGAAAATGTCCCAGTGAATCTATAAAACCCGTTAAGAACTGTGACTTGTAGCACTGGGATATTTTGCAAGTGATCACTTTTAATGATGTCTCTTTGAACAATTGAGATGTTTCTTCCAAGGCCAGATTCACTTCAGCTGCAACTGGTCTAGATAGATCAGCACTTGACTATTAGTGGTTGATACTCTCTAAATACATTAGGTAATGAAACCCTATAAAACGTCTAAGCTATATAGCGGCAGAGGAAGCATCCTATTTTGTATGTTTATTTCTCCTTAGGAAACTGTTATCGAATACCAGTTTAGAAGTCTGCCTTCCCAGTCTGTCCTTCTTAATGGGGAGATGAGTAATTGGAGGTGCTCGGGCTAGAATGGATGAGTGTAGTTTCCAATGCAAGGCCTTGGTTGAAGTAGATCTGGTGAAGAAGGAGACTTAAAGCAAATGCCTCCAAAATGAAACTTGGGAGAATTTGCGAAGCTACTCCTCTGCCCCTTTGTACAGTGAGCTTCTCAGATTGCATATAGGGATGCAATCCTCCATCGGCAAACTTGAGTTGAGGAGCAGCTCCTTGGGGATTATGTAGATGGAAGGCAGAAGATTTCTCTGCTCCTTCAGCACATGTAAGTTTGGGGAGCCAATCTTACTTCCTGTGCTTGCCAGTCTGTGAGTTAAACTAGCAAACTGTACAGCCTCATTTGATGAGCTTGGGAAAAGGGCCAGAACATTGTAATGTGCAGCAAAGAATCATGTGCCCAAGAAGCTCCCTGCTTCAGAGTTGTTTTATTTTTGTCCTTTCATGATTGACTGACCTTTTCTCCTTTAGCTAGGCTTTTCGTGAAGCACAACCAGCACATCATGTTTATTTTCAGCTGGTTGATAGGCTCTTCCTTTCCAGTTCCTAAAAATTATTGTGTGCCATCCTTTTTGAAATAAAAAAAGATACAGTGAACGAAAGAGGAAGAGATCTTTTACTGATTGAAGCCTATGCCCTAACTATTGTTTTGGGGATCTGTTTTTTTTTTTATTAAAATAAAGTTCAAGAAGAAAATTACTGATGCTTTCCTATGCTATAAGTGGGAAAACTGCAGGATTTTATTACAATGTTTGACAATGTGTATCAGATCATGACACAGATGGAATTTGAATGATCCTGTGCATTATAAAGGGGAAGGGGAGAGCTATGAAATTTTAGAATGTACCAGACAAATCACAATTTTATTTTCCTTTTAAATTTGAATGGAATTTTTCTGAAAAAACGACATTCCGCAGTGGCTCTAGGCGCAGAGTCTGAAAGAGTTTATGAACAATAGTTTGTTTGCTGACTTAACCCAAAGAATATGGGTCCTTTGAGCCATCTGACATCTCAGTTTCAGGGTGAAGAGGCTGTATTTGCAAGGTTGACTGTGCTGATGTTTTCCAGGTCTGTTTATATATATTTAGATTGACAGCATATTACTTGCAAGCTATTTTTAAATTTGTATGCAAGACACCACTGACAACAGGCAGAATGGCCAGCCTCACCATTATCCATCTATCCATTATTTTTATTCTTACTGACAGGAGTTTATGTAACAGACGTTCAGCAGTGTGTTAAGGCATTTGGACATTGTCACTTGAAGGTAAACAGAAAAACACACCATTTAGATTTCCCTGTAGATTTTATAACTTAAACTGTATAGTCAAGACCCCAATGCTTCTTCCCTCCCACCCCAATGTCAAAGCTTGTTTTGTTATCCAGTCCTTGTGGCTGACATGCAACATGATTTTGTCAGGGAAGACAAGGGAGAACATAGAGAACTGTTTTTTAAAATAAAGTTTGTGTATTTTAAAGTATAAATGTATGTTCTATAAGTTCTTTAAATTCCTGTGTATAAATGCCTTGCTTATAACATACAGATGAGCTTGTACCAAAGTTCTAAACTTAACCTCTGAATTTGATGTGTTCAGATTCTAGATCTTCTAATAGTTTGCCACGTACTTTTAAAAGTTTTCTTCTTTCATTTGTGCACAAGGAAATAGGATATCCAAAACTTGCCACTCTTGAGTCTGTGTCGTCTTAGCCTCAAATGTCTAAGTGCTTTCTAAAACCTATATACTGCCTTTGCCTAAACCTCTATAGGATTGCTGTTGAAATATTTAAAAATGTTTTCTTGTCCAATCAGAAAGAGATGAAATTACAAGATGTTATTTTTCTAAAGGTCTGAGAGCCTTGAGCAAAATCTACACTGACCCTTTTATTAAAGAAATTGTAATTCCAGATCCTAGAGGAGTTAATTTTAAAATATACTTCCATTAGAAAAATATTGCAAATACCAACTTCTAACTAGCTGTACAACCGTTGTGTTGCAATTGGATGGATTAGTAAAAGCAAGAAGTTGGGATTCGAGTGAAAGAAATGCTGTACTGGAAGATGAATGTTATCACGTAAAATTAAGACAGATTGGTAAAAATATTTCTATCTTCTGCTAGTGCTGCATGCTGGGCTTCACAGCTTCTTATGGAAAGATTAAGTTCACAGTGTACACAATACTAAAATTATACATCTAACTTATCAGGAGTGGACAAATTTGACAAGCAGGAGAAATGCACACAAGGCAGTCTTACAATAAAAAATGGCCTCCCGTAACTTTTTTCATGTTTGGCACCTTGTTTGGAAATAATACCTATTTTGGTGTGAAATATTTATATATGCTGAGAAACCAAAGCAAAATACTGTTTAAAAATGCATTTTGTTTGGAAACTGTTTGGAGTTATTAAAGAGAGACAAACGTGCAAGCTTAGATTATTTTACTATCCTGAAGCTCTTCTCTAGCATTTCACTTCTATTGCAATACTTAGGGTTGAAAAGGCACTGCTAGTATAATCGCCTATCTTCAGGCACTTAACTGTCTTAAATTCTCTTATGTGCTGAAATTTCTTAAGCATAGTCTCAGTTCAGAGGATTTTATTAGTGGCTAGAGAGGAAATGTTGGTAAAATGCTCTTCACATGGCTTTATAATGAATGTTAAAAATTGCCACTTTTTTGCTTTCTAATCCATATTTAATTTTTCTTAAACCTTTGGCAAGTGCTAGTAACTGGCTTTTCTAGATCCCTCAAAGCATGTTGCAAATATAAATAAGCCTCTCTAAACACCTGCATATGTGAGTCTTTTACTTGTTTTCTAGCTGGAAAAACTGGGACACAGATAAAATAACTTTACAAAGGCTACACAGCAGGTAAGTGGGAAAGCTGGGAACAGAGCCCAGGAGGTCTGACTCAATGCCCTGCTCTGAACACTAGACCTAAGGATTCTGATTCTAGAATCATAATTTATTTTTAAACAAATTGAGGTGACTGCTATTGGAGAACTACATATCGCACATGTACAGTATGTGGTCTGCTGCTAGTTGCTCCTTCAGAGGTTTGGTGGTGGGCTATTTGTCCAAACCATGAATAATCCGTAACTGTTTATTACCTTCAGTGTACCCTGACTAGTCTCTGAAGGCCTTCTTGTTTTCCCTCCTCTGACTGATGTTCCTCTAAAGGAACATCCTAATTTCTGTAAGTGCTCTGTTTAAGACTCTGAACAAAGAAGTTAGGAAATTCAATATCATGATTCCCACGGCAAGCTGAGCTTGGCAATGCCTATGTGAAAGCATAACATGAACTTTGTACAAGTAATGCAGGTTTTTGCTTTAGTGAGGCATTGGAACAGTGCTTGCAGGGTCGCCAAATTATAGCTACGGTGGAGAAGTATGAATTTTTGTGGTTTTTAGAATCTAAATTAAGGTGTAATGCAAAACTACATTAATACAGTTTTAACATGCAGCACAGATAACTAGCATGCTTCACAAGAAGGTGTTAAATGGAATCTTAGCAACAGCAAATCAGAGGTACTGAAGAGTTATCAAAAGTAACCTTACATTTTGTTCTACTATTTCTGAATCTACCCTTTTAAAATTAGTTTTAGTACAACAGTTTTTCACTAAAAATACCTGAGATGTGTTGTTTTACCTTACTCTTGTTTCTAATGGAAAAAAGGCAACATCATATAAGCCCTACTTGCTATTGATACCCTGTTGGGATTCCTGGCAGGCAAATCACAATTTGGGTAAGTCAGGCCATGCCTATGCTACGAAGTTAAGTTGACTTTATGTAAGTGACACTCAACTTCTGATTTAAGCAAGCTCATCTTGCATGTCCACGCTGCATTCATTGTGTCAGCAGAGTGCATCCTCACGAGCAGGGCTGGCATCGACACACAGCACTGCCCTTTGGGTGCTGTCCCACAATGCATGTAGCAGAGTGGCATTTTGGATTGGGCTTGCAATGTCTTATGGGACACTGATGTAGGTGGTTATGGGAATATGGTGTTAGCCTCCCATGATGCTCTTACCGTTTTCCCTCCTTGACATCAATGGCAAAGATACCAAGCCTTTTTTGTGCTTTTTTTTCCTTCTTTTTTCTTCAGAAGCCTGGGTTAGCCCTGGCATGCCATAGCATAAGCATGGAGCCTGCTCAGCTGTACAGTGTAGTTGTGAGTATTACAAACCTCTCACACCTTCTAGTGTTTACACAGCTGATATTGGAGCTGCCACGCAGAACAATTTGATGCTACGTAAGCAGCCCGATGAGAAGACAGATCAATTCACAGTTGCTGGTGATAGTCATGAATCACTTCGACATAGTGTGTTTCATACTGTGTGAAACAAGGAGAAAAGTTCTCTTCAGGGTGTGAAAGGGGAGGTAGATCACCAAGCAGCAGGGCAAAATAAAGGACACATTGAAGGGCTCACGTCTCTGTAAGGCTTTGAAAACCCATTTCAGCAAGGAGTAACGTGGTATGTGATACTTACCTATGTTCCTTACCAAACAGTTCCCTCCATTACATTTTCTCCCCTGTAAATTCCACCTCCACCAGCTGTTATGTGTTGAATGAATAAAGAGTTTTCTCCATGTTAAGTTTTATTATGCACACAAACAGAGGCAACAGAGAAAAGGAAAACAATCTGGGGCAAGAGAGCTGATAACGGGGGAGAAACAAGGAAAGCTTGCTTATAGATACACTGCAGTAATAATCAAAGTTGTGGGAATGGGCACCTTCTGGTCCTTGTACCCTTTCCTCAAGTTGAGTGTAAAGGGTACCAAACCCCTCCCCATTCCTTATGGGACATTTGGGGGAGGAGCATGGAGAACTGGACAAGGATGGCAGCAGGTTTGGACACTAGCATCTAGCTGCTGTTCTTGAACCTCAACCAGATGCCTCCATATGTCTGATTGCTCCTTCGTAATCAGCAGCGTCTCTTCCTACATGGCACGCTCTTGTTTCCTGCATGCTCTCCTGTCCTCCCTGTCCACATCCAGATTCTCGGACAGTGTAATCCTCCATGCTCTGAGCTCCCCCTCTCAGAAGCATGCATTAACTCATGGAATGTGTCCCTCTGAGTGTGCTCTTTCTGCCTTTTAATCTGGGAGAGTTTTTGTCCCAGTGTGGAGAAAGTGCTGACGGACAAGGTTTCAGCTGCAAGGAATGCAAAGCACAAGAGTATCATTGATAGTGAAGAAAACACCCCTTGATACCCTCCACTGCAAGGCACAAGATAGTTACAACCACTGGCTCTTGCAAGAGGCTGTTTACTGCTCCAGCTATGGTGAGTAAGACCACAAGGCATGGGTGAGAGCTTGTGCTGCTGCTGCTTTTGTGACCACATCCTCAGGAGTACAGGCTGGAATTTGAGAGAAGCCACCTTTACCCTATCATCATGGATGATGCTTGAGGACAGGCACCAGTGTCAAGCCCTCCTTTCCCCCCCACAATAGCTTGTTACAAAAGCAGCATCAGATCAGGGGGATGGGAGACTAACGAGTCACTGCCCACCCCACTTCGTTTTCACTGCTGCTGGCAACACACAGTGATCCCTTCCAACCACAATCACAGCACACTTGGGCAAGTGTGGTTATGGGATTTCACCCAACAGAGGGCAGATTATTTGTTGAATTGTTTTCCGTTTAAGGACTAGCATTGGAAATTCCCTGTTTTCCCCTAGGAGACTGTATGCAATATCACTCTCCTGGGGGAAACAGAAAATCAGACCTTAGAGAATATCAAACTGGAGACCCAAAATCTGAGGCCACTTGAAAATTTTTAGCTGCAACTTCCCTCTGCCTCTGTTTTCCCACCTGTAAAATGGTAATGCTTCCCTGTCTGCTGTGGTAGCACTATGTTGTTTATAAAGTCTTTTGAGATCCCAGTGCATTGGTTTTTGCTTTTTAAATAAAGATTTGAAAGGTTTAGCAACTGGTACAAGTGTCTTCCTGTGCTTCAGAAAGGCATGCCCTTCCCTGCGGTGGCATATCAGACTTGCTGCTGTAGGGAAGGATTCTGTTGTTGGACATGATAAGATGATTACTGCACATTTGTTCTGTTTTTTAAACATAGATTATGATGGCAAATTATACTGCATGTTGAATGTAGGATTCTTTCCATGTATACCTACATGTGCTGTTGGGCTATGCAGAGAAAAAGGGCTGACAAACTACGAAAGCATATCTTGTGTTAGAGCATTTTTTCCCTTTCCTTTACTCAGAATTAAACATTTAGGGTATGTCTAGACTACATGCCTCTGGCGACAGAGGCATGTAGATTAGGCTACCAGGCATAGGAAAATGAAGTGGCGATTTAAATAATCATCGCTTCATTTAAATTTACATGGCTGCCGCGCTGAGCCGATCAGCTGTTTGTTGGCTCAGCGCGGTAGTCTGGATGCACAGGTGTTGACATCAAAGGCATTTGTCGACTACCCAGGTATGCCTCCTGGGATGAGGTTTACCTGGGTGGTCGACAAATGC